CCTGACAGAACTGGAGAGGATCTGCAAGGAGGAATGGCAGAGGATCCCCAAATCCAGGTGTGAAAAACTTGTTGCATCTTTCCCAAAAAGACTCATGGCTGTATTAGATCAAAAGGGTGCTTCTACTAAATACTGAGCAAAGGGTCTGAATACTTAGGACCATGTGATATTTCAGTTTTTCTTTTTTAATAAATCTGCAAAAATGTCAACGATTCTGTGTTTTTCTGTCAATATGGGGTGCTGTGTGTACATTAATGAGGAAAAAAAATTAACTTAAATGATTTTAGCAAATGGCTGCAATATAACAAAGAGTGAAAAATTTAAGGAGGTCTGAATACTTTCCGTACCCACTGTATGTTTTCCTTAAGTGTTTTTCTTTAATTGCTAATGAACCTTTTTACACCACAGACAAAATTAGGCATTGCTTGGTAATTGGTTGACCTAAATTGGTATTATCTCATTGTGTACTTAAATTTAACAGCTGATAGCTATTCAACCGAATTCATTACATACCTTTCAATTATCAAGATGAATTTGTTTTGACAGTTTAACTCTGAGTTCTTGTCATATTTGATTACCATTTTCTAAACTATAGCGAATAAACTGTGATAATGTGAGAAATGTTGAAGGTGTCTGAATAAATGTTGGTTTGACTATATATATATATATATATATATATATATATGTATGTGTGTTATTTAATTTGATCTGTTATAACATTTTATAAATTAACAAATAAAATATATATAAATGTGCACTACACTAACTAAACAACAACTAAGGAACTATAAATAATCAATCATTATTGGATGATCTGATTCCATTAATCTCTAAAAACTAAAATAAAAAAGTGAAAAAGCAGTTTTTATAATTTATTTTATAAATGAATGAATTAAAATTAAACTTGGAATGGAAATGGAAAACTGCAAAATACAAAAATTTAATACAATTAAACAGTGACAAAAACAGTATGAATAAAATGTTTGATGCTTTATATTTTAGTGGAAACTGATACTGTTTTTCCAGGATACTTTCTATTATAATCTAAAATATAGTTTTGCTCTCTTGCCTTTATAACTTTGAAGCTGAGATGTCGTTTGTAGAGCATGATGATCTTGTACTCATCTGCGCCTTCATCTACCATGTGCCGGAGCGTGAGCAGTGTGTCTCGACTGGACAGTACTGCTCTTCTCCAGGCGGGGTCGCTCTCGTGACATATCACTAGACTGGTTCTGTAGTTGCTTATGGCCTCGTAAAGCACGGCAGGCTCCTCTGTCTCCTCCAGGCTCGTGAAGTGGTCCTGTATAAGTCAAATTATTGAGGTTATGCCAAAGGTAAATGTGAACAGTCAGTAAAGTTATGCAATATCCAAACATTGTCCAATCATCTCACCTGGTGAAGTTTCAGACTCATTCTCACAGCTGGGGCCACCACCGTCTGTAGCAGGTCCATGTCAGCAAAAATCCATTCATCTTTAGCAGCAATACGGAAGTCACCTTTGAACAGCGTGTTGAAGCCATAGAGGAATGACTCCAGACTGTAGAGGAAACCAGTGAAATGTGAAATCTATTATAGCGGTACACATACTGACATCCATCAAGCTAAGAATTATTCTTTATTGAACAGTCTTAATATGATTTATCTGTTGAGGTGCACAGCACTAATGTTGAGAAGTGTACCTGTTGGATCTGTTATGTGCTGCTGTGCTGAGAGATCTCCGTCCAAGAACAGATAGCGCGAAACACAGAGTAACCAATGGAGAATCTTCATCGCTGTCCACTGGCTGAGGACACAAAACAAAACTTTAGATTTAAGATTCAAGTTTAGATCACTTTAACACTGTGGAAATGCCAGCGCTCAACTGTCCTACCAAAGGTAATTCCCAAGTTTTGCACCATTTGGAAATCAGTCAGACAGTTTTTTTATCATGTCCTTCGAGACTACCTTGTATCGGCTCTACTTTGTATCACTCTTAAGAAATGGCATTTGTGTCTCCTCACCTCCTCTAGTTTGTTGGCACAGTATTGGATCCACTGCAGGTAGACGTTACAGTAGCTGGCTCTGGTGACCCCCTGCAGACAGTGGACATAGTCCTCATCAATCTTCATGCTGAACACAGCCGGGTCCTTCTCGATGTGATGCCATTTGGTGTATGGCTGCAGGGCTTCCTGAATGGACTGGTCTTTAACCCATATCTGCATCTTGGGGTTGATCACCAGGTAGTAGATGATACTCTGAAGATAGAAATTATTGAAAATCCAGAGATGTGAGTGTTGTCCATCTCACCAACCACTGATGTCACATTAACTATTTTAATGATGTCCTTACTACCTTTCTGGGCCTTGAACATGGTAGTTGCATCAGAAACTAGTAGAAAGCTCTCAGATTAGTCAGAAAGCTCTCGGATTTAATCAAAAATATCTTAATTCATGTTACAAAGATGAACGAAGGTCTTGCGAGTTTGGAACGACATGAGGATGAGTAATTAATGACAGGATTTTCATTTTTGGCTGGAATACACTACACAACGGATTTTTGCCCTGATTTACAGTCTGGGGGAGTTGATGCTAGTTGCTAAAAGTCAGAATCAGTCTGCAGATTTGAGTTGACAGATTTCACAGAAAACCGCAGAGTCACAGACCCTCAGTCGTTTAATGAATGATGCCCTTTTTTTTTTTGTAATCATTTACAAAGTCAGTACGTTCTTGATGCCTAGTGTTAAAAATAGGATTTAAAAAATAATAATAATAAATGATAGGATTGCATTTACGGTATGTCTTTAAAAAGTCTGTGTAAACACCGTTTGCAAGAATGGTTTTAAATGTTATCTCATTTGGCTATGAAATTGCATTTTTTCCCCCAAAACATAATTCTTTACAGCTAATAAAATAACTGCTTATTTAACTGTTGTGAAGAGTAATTGGAATGTAACAATTCTTATTCCTATTTGTATATAACAAAAGTATACTGAACTATTACAACTGCTTCTCTCTTCTAAAATACCTTAAGGTAGTAAGTGATGAGCAGCTTGCGCAAGTCATAGACTTGCAGCATGGTGGCAGCGTTGTTCTCGCTGATGCTGTAGCCCTCCAGCAGATACTTAGTGGTGGTCACCTCCCAGGCCAGCCAACGGAGGTTAAAAGCGGCATTGCAGGACAGCACATGGGGCAAATGACCCGGCTCACAGCAGCAGCAAGAATCATCCTCCTCTACACCCTCTGTGATGGCCTCCACCTCCCGCTGCTGACAGTAAGTACCTGAGGAAATGAGAAAGTCACTGTGACGAGAGGGAACAATGACACCAGTGTGACAATATAATGTTAAAACTATTTACCCCTGAACTCCAGGCCTCGCAGCTGGAAGGTGACCAGACCGTTGCCAACTTCGATGAGGTGAACAAGTGCATTAAGGTAGTCAGAAGCCAGGATGAAGCAATCTCCAGCACAGTAATTCCCCCAGCGGCCCAACATCAGGTCTCCACATAAAGAATGCTGCAAGGAGCGCGTCAGGTACTCGTAGAAGATTGAGTTGAGGTTGTCGTCATCACAGCCTACATAGTGAGCATATAAAGACTGAACTTTTTTTTTTTTTAAATGTACGAGGACACTGTTGTGTCTTCAGTAATAGTAGAGACATGGCATCCTAAAACAACATCTGACATACTGAAAACGTTTGAACAGTGTTTACAATGAAACTGAACCTTCATGCATTATCAAAAATCAAATCCTAAAAGGATGGTTCACCCCTAAATAAAAACATGATCATATTTTACTCTGTATGACTTTCTCTCTTTCATGGAACATGGAAGAATATTCTGGCCATTCTTTTTCATATAATGAAAGTGAAAGGTCTGTCAAACTTCAAAAACAAAAAACAAAGCAAAACTCTCAAACATCATAGAATATATTAAGATTATAATATTAATGATTGAACATTATTGATAGGAAGTGTATTTATCTATTTTATCAGTTAAAAATGTACATTTAAAATGTAAAATAAATAAAAAACAAAATAAATGTGAAATATACTGTAAGTAATATATACATAAAAACATAAATAAAATATAAATAAAAGTGTAAAAGTAAAAATAAATATAAAACATATATAAAACTTTGTATTAAAAGCCAAAGTACTTTAGAGTGTGAAATATACTGTAAGTAATATATACATAAAAACATAAAATATAAATAAAAGTGTAAAAGTAAAAATAAATATAAAACATATAAAACTTTGTATTAAAAGCCAAAGTACTTTAGAGTGTGAAATATACTGTAATATATACATACATAAATACATGTAAATAAAATATAAATAAAAGTAACATAAAAAAATAAACATAAAATTTTGTTAAAAGCCAAAGTACTTTAGAGTGTCTTTAAAGTGACCAACTTTAAAACTTCCCTGAAAACAGTATTTTTGCTATTGTTCTCAGCAATTTCATATAAGCATGTAACTTGGAAAAAAACACAAAGCAATAATACCATTTTAACGTGCAGCTTAAAATGCCGCATATAAAATAAAAAAAAAAAAAGTGGTTCTCAATCAGATGGCCGAACAGGTCTTAATGATTAAGTATTAATTATCTTAATAAGTCTTAATTAAAATCCTAAAAAATTCTAAAAGATGCACAACATTGAACTGACGTATTTTTTATTTATTTTTGTTACAACAGAAGTACTAGAGGTACATATCAGCTTAGATAGTGGCGTCTTTGAATACTGTTCAAGGAGTCAAAAAGTTAGGAACAACTTTACTAAATTGCTTAGAAGACTTGAAATATAGCACAAAGTCATGTAGATCACTTTTACGATGCTTTTGGAGCTTGACACCACCAGTCCTTACTCACTTAAAAGTTTAGAACAACATAAGGGAGAGTACAGTAAATGACACAATTGTCTTTTTGGGATGAACTATTCTTTTAACACAGATGGAATGACATACATTTTTGATACAGCAGTCAGCTGTTTAGTGTGTGTGTTATAAGACGTGTATAGATAAAGACAGTATTTACCAGTCTCTTTGTCTACCTGAGACACCAGTCGGCTGTTGGAATTGTCAATTCGTTTAGTGCTGTAAAACCAAATGAAAAGTTCATGAAGTGAAATATTCAGTCATGTCAAACACCCCATTTAATCTGATGCCTGTGCCTGTGCCTGCACCACCATTCAAGTTTAATATCAACAACAGAAACATTCTGTGTCATCACATTTGTGGTTGGAAACTACATCAATAATTCAACATAGTGTGGTTTTCTCTCTGCTGCTACAGACTGTTGGACTTCAGATAAAGCCCATCAACCATGAAGGAACTTAGTCCCCAAGGAAACAAGGCAAGTACATGCCAAACATGTCCAGCCTCAACAGCTGTTCTCAAAACAGTGAAATATGCTCTTATTCTGAAACCTGCACTCAAGTGTGCATCTGGCTGACAGTGCATTACGTCACTCTTGAGGTTGAATGCATATTTCATGTACATGTGGAAATAAGAGGCAGCTTACTTGTAGTTCCTCTCCCAGAATTTAACAGGCCGCGGATAAGAGGTGATAAAAATGGCGCTCCCGAGGAACGGGCTGAGCGGTGTGTAGAAGAGCGTCGTGACGAACGTCTGCAGCAGCAGCATGGCAGAGTCTGAGCAGCTCCGTCAAGGAAAAAACGAAATATTTGTGCTATATTTGGAGGTATGATGACTGTCCTTAAAGGTGCTGTAATCGAATTCTGAATCTAATCTTCTGACACTCATGAGAAAACACACCTGACTCAGATGAGAAAATTACATTTGAACAAATTTTACAATAATACCATTTCACACTGCCTGGAAATCATGAGATTAATCACAAATTATGTAATTACTGTATGTTGACAAAAAAAGATGAAATGTCAGTGTAACATAAATATTATTAAATTCTTTTTCTAGATAATATTTAATATAACACATTTTTTCACAACATAAAGTTTTTTTTTATGCTTTTAACATACTACCACAGTCTTTTAAAGGCGCTGTCAGCGATTTCTTTCCCAACTACCTGACACTCTAAAAAGTATTCTGAGAAAACACACCTGACTTTGAAAAAAAAAGTAAAAATTGAAAATATGAAAATAAATGAATAAATAAAGGGAATTACATTTAACTGAATTTTACATTATTTTCATTCTGCTTTCTAAACAATAGCTGGAAATCATGAGATTAATCACAAATTATGTCATTCTGTTGAAAAAAAAAAATCAATATAAAGAAATATCTAAACAAAATTACATTTAACTGAATTTTACATTTTGAAATTTACATTATTTTTATACTGCTTTCTAAACACTGGCTGGAAATCATGAGATTAATCACAAATTATGTAATTCTGTCGATAAATAAATAAATAAATATTACATTTAACTGAATTTTACATTTTGAATACTACATTATTTTCATTCTGCTTTCAAAACACTGGCTGGAAATCATGAGATTAATCACAAATTGTGTAATTCTGTTGATAAATAAATAAATAAATAAAACAAACAAATAAAATTACATTTAAATGAATTTTACAGTTTAAATATTGCATTATTTTCATCCTGCTTTCAAAACACAAGCTGGAAACCAGTGTATATATTATATTATTATATTTCTGTGGCTTAAAAAAGTTTGAAAACTCCTGGTTTATAGCACCTTTACTTTAACAGATTAAAATTAGGAGTGAGCATAGTACTTGGGATGTACTACCAATATAAACATGCAAGCAAGCTGGACAGATTGTAAGGATATGAGGCACAGCGAAGGGTTGTGCAAATGCATGAAATGCACTACCCCATGCTATCTGCCAGGGGGCGATATACACCAGAATGAAGTGTAGCTTGTGGAGAAGATCCCAAAGCTGTTGACAAAACAAAGAGCTGTTGTAAGAGTATTATTTTGGGACTAGTTTCTAAATGCACCGTCTGCTGTGAGCTATTTTTGACAATAGTCTGGCACAATATAATTTTTTTTCGAAGTTAGATTAAAAAAAAATTACAGACTTTAATTGTATTATTTTTTTTGTTTTATTGTATTTTCTTATTATATTACTTATTTTACTAAATGTATCTAAATGAATGCTAAATTAACACAAATGGGTAGGACATTGTTAATGATGAGTGTTTCATTGCACTAATGTCCATCCAACCCATAGCACTGACCTTGTTGAAGACGATGGACATGAGGAAGAAGTTGAGCAGAAATGTCTCAGAAGCACTGCTGCAGTCGAACTCAAAGAAGATGATGGTGAAGATGAGCGTGAGGAACTGGAAGCTGGGATCGCAGAAGGAGGCACGAAGAAGCTTCATCCCAGCAACTGTCATCAACAAGACATCACAGCTGGAGCGAGACACAGACACCTGAGCCACTCAGGTGCAGAGGCAGCATACAGCCAAGCACAGCAAAAACCAATCAGGGTGACTCTGACTTCGGCTAACACCACCACAATGCTCAGTAAAATGTGTTATTAGGTACCAAGTCTGCTCACCAAGGCAGCATTTATTTATTTAAAAAAATACAGTAAAACAGTAAAATAATATAATAATATATCAAGTAATTAAAGTAATATAATATTACTGCAATTTAAAATAATGGTTTTCTGTTTGTTTGAATTTATATTTGATATGTATTTATATGAATCTTCAGCAGCCATTACTCTAGTCTTCATAATCACAGTCATCTTTCAAAAATCATTCTAATATTCTGATGTGGTCCTAAAAAATGTTTTATCAGTGTAGTTTATATTAGTTATTATCAATCAGTTGAGCTGCTTTATTTTATTATTTTTAGCAAACAATTATACATTTGACAAATAAACATTATCCTTTTGACAAATAGAAAGTTACAAAGAAATGTATATGTAGCCTACAATACTGTTCAAATGTATTTTTAGAGTTTTCAAAAAAATCTAATATATTTGAAATAGAAATCTTCTGTAACCATGTAAAAGATTTTTGATCAATGTAATGCAAATTTCAAATAAAACACTATTATGGTTTCCACAAAAGTTTTAACAGAGATAATAATGTTTCTTGAGCACAAAATCAGCATTTTTGACTGATTACTGAATGAGACCCTAACTGTATAAACACATTAGCATTATATAATTCTAATGTCAATATACAGTTAGGGTCGTTTAATATAAATTATGGGATTGACTGAAGAATAAAACATAAAAAAAAAAATTCAAAATCTTTGTTAAATTGTCAACAAGAATAAGGGGAAAGGTACTTACTGTAATCCTAATTTCTTTCGATGGCTGAGGGCGAAGCCATCGTTGGTAAGTGCACTGAGGACAATGGCTGGGTAGACAATATACTTCTCAAAAGTCAACAGCCCCACATAGAGACGCTCAAACCACATCAAGTGAGCATCCTCTGAAAACATAGTATACTAAAATGAATTCATATTAATAACACGATGTATTACAGCGAACACGTCACAGAAGTGCAGGGAACTGACCTCTGGGTTCAAACTGTGAGTACTCCTTACTCTTCAGCACAGGATGAGAGATCCACAGCCAGGGATGGTGTTTCCGTAACTGAGGGATGAGATAGTGGGTGACAAAGCCCACAGTGGCTGCTAATGCATACAGCACTATGGACACAAATGGCTGCATGTGATGAAAAAAATTGTTAGTTGATATGTAAACTGCTAGCTTTATTGAATTTGTAGTCATTATGTATAGGAAATTTAAAAGGAAGAGAAACTTACCCGTAAAGAAAGGAAAACCGTGCTGGCTGTTATTGCAAAGGTCAAAACTGAGGCAAGAATACAGACAACCAGATCTGACAGTAAAATCTCTTTCTGCAACATAAAATATAAGTAATTAATGATAATTAATACAAGATTCCTTAGATGCAAATATTACAATTCCATTCCAAAAAAACTACTACTTTCATTCAGCAAAGAGCCATTCAATTGTTAAAAAACAATAAAAACAAAACAGTAAAGACATTTATAATGTTACTAAAGATTTCGATTTCAAATAAATACTGTCCTTTCGTACTTTCTCTTCATCAAAGAATAATGATCAATAATAATCAAAGAAGAATGGCTGCTGAAAATTCAACTTTTCCATCACAGGAATAAATTACATTTTAAAGCATATTCAAATAGAAAACACTTATTTTAAATTGTACTAATATTTCACAATATTTCTGTTCCCTTCCAAGGGAACTTCGAACTGCGTCCTCTAGAGCAGTGTTTCCCAACCGGGGTGCCGTCTGTCGAGAGAAGGGGTGCCGTGTAAAAAATCCTTTTTTAATATTTTTAAATTGCTAAAATGTTCAAAAAAGCATCTATTATATAATATCCATTTCTGATGTCGCCAATAATTAGAGATGCACCGAAATTTCGGCTGCCGAAAATGAGTTCACCGCTCAGGTTTCACTTTCACGTGGTTAATGTTTACATATGTATAAAAGCCTACATTAAAATCTGTCATGTAAATTGGTCTCTTCATTAGTTTTTAATAATATATATTTAAGATATTTAATAATATTTAATAATATTAAAAATATCTGTATGACATTATATTCTGCAGTTCTTCCCTGTTGTACCGAGTATATATACATTAAATAATGTTTACATATGTATAAAAGCCTACATTAAAATCTGTCATGTAAATTGGTCTCTTCATTAGTTTTTAATAATATATATTTAAGATATTTAATAATATTTAATAATATTAAAAATATCTGTATGACATTATATTCTGCAGTTCTTCCCTGTTGTACCGAATATATATACTTTTCAAATTATCATATCGAAGTTAGAAATTCAAATATTGTGACAAAATAAATTTTGTAGGGTGCCACAAGTTTGTTAAAATTTCCAAAGGATGCCGCGACTAAAAAAAGGTTGGGAAACACTGCTCTAGAGGTCGCTATGGGTAACGCCTTCAAGCGTGACCGTTGTCTGAAGCATACATCTAAACACAACAATAACATTGGCCGGCGGCAGCCTGTGACGTCATCACCTGGCACGACCACAGTATAAAAGGGCGCTGGGAAAACACATCATCCTCTTCTTCATCTTCAAGGGCTGTTTTGTTTGAAGCGTGCGTTTCCGGTAAGAACGATTATTCTTCTTTACCATGGCAAGCACTAGTAAGGCGTTTAAGAAGTGTGTGGATCCATGTCCTCGTTATTTGACACCCACGATCTTTGCGTCTTTTGTTTGGGTGAAGAGCAAGCGCGCGATGTCCTTGAGGAGGCAGTTTGCGTGCACTGTGAGCGTTTTCCTATGAAAAAGCTCCGCTCTCGTTTGTCTCTCTTTTTGAGGAAAGAGGGACAGCCATCAGCTCCCCGCTGCTGAGGCACAGAGGAAAATGAGGGATCGCAGATGGACCTGGCTGATGAGTTGATGAGGGCTCGACTCGCGCCCCTGCCCTGCCTGTGGGTAGGGCTCAAAAGGGGCGTGGGTCTTAGGGTGACAGGTAAGATTTGAGGGAGGTGATCCAGACTAGGCGTTCTCAACGCTCTCGTCTGGACCAGAGTAAAACCTGAGCCATCTACTCACCTCCCTCTGAGAATATTACATCTGCTCTTATCTTCCTCCCATTAATTCCCCTAAAACGCTTCCCTCCTGACTGAGGTTAGGTAGGAGACTCCTGTGCTTGCATTGCAGTCTCTTATGCTGGGCCTATGATGTTTTGGCTAGTTTTTATGCCTCATAGAACTACCCACTGATGGTCCGAACCCTAGTGCTCTTAGGACTTTGCCTTCAGCCTATATCCATGAGCCTGAGTCATGCGCGGGAGCCATGGTTGGTGAGTACGATCCATTTCATCTATTCTACTGCTAGCTTTTGTGTATTCAATACTAGCCTTTTTTCTGCAGCGCTACTCAGACCTGTTCTGTTTTCTGACTTTTTAGGTTTGACCCCCCTGTCAGGACCTCCTGCTGTTGACCGATTATAGTGATGGTTTCACTCATCGGTACTGATCCAGGCTGGTGATAGCTCTCATCTTCGGCTTGGACACATAGTCTGGGCTTCTGCGGAGGCCTCCCAGCATCAGGTCCCCAGTATAACGCTGCAACCTCAGGACCTGCGGGTCTTTCTCGCGGGCTAGTACTCCTCTGAGTACATGCTTCGTGACATGCTCCCTATCCTCTGGCCAGGGTGCGCTACTCATCTCTCACCCTGAGGGGTCTCCTGAGATTTGAGTCTTTCCTTAACCATCATGCACGTTCTCTGAGCTAAAGCTACTCTCGCTGAGGCGTTGAGGAACTCAACACTCCATAGACGGTCAGGTCCGCGGGTCCTCCCTTTCACACTGCCCTTATGGTTGAACCAGTAATCGCCCCTCTGCGGAGTGGGCTTGAGTACACTGTGTTCCCTGAGGTACGAGGGACTTGTGTTTATGCGGAAACCCCTCTTGTATGCTTCTGCTCTGAGGAGCAGTAAGCTCTGTACGCATGAATGGTTATTGGGTCCTACTATTTCTTCAGATTCTATCGGGTCTGATTATACAGGACCCACGCTCTGTATCGAGATAGAGAGCATGAGACTGTGTCCAGTTGCACCAGTGGATAGTCTCTTATTAGGCTCTGCTGGGTTACCCCTTCTAATCTAGCACCTTCTTCTGGTCGAGCTGAGAAGTGCTCCCCTCAATGTGAGGGTTAGCTATGAGTCGCTCCCAGTATGTGCTGTCAGGGCCCGCCTCAGCTTGAGAGCCCACATTTGCAACAAACTGAGTGTTAGGCCCGTTTCTGTCGCCTCCTTGGTCAGTTTATTTTGGGACCCTGTTGTTCCCTGTAGAAATGTGTGATACCCTTCTAGCAGGATCCCATTTCTGATGTCCCATTTGTGATCTATCTGCTACCCGGACACGGCTGCGCTCCCCTCACTGCGGGAGGGTCCCTTTGAGCTCACCGGTCCTGGGCAGACTGGGTGAGTCCTCCTCTAAGCTCTGTACGCATGAATGGTTATTGGGTCCTGCTATTTCTTCAGATTCTATCAGGTCTGGTGTACGGGACCCACGCTCTCTATCGAGATAGATAGCATGAGACCGTGTCCAGCTGCACCAGTGGACTGTCTCTTATTGGGCCCTGCTGGGTTGCCCCTTCTAATCTAGCACCACTTTCTGGTTGAGCTGAGAAGTGCTCTCCTCACTGTGAGGGTTAGCTATGAGTCGCTCCCAGTATGAGCTGTAAGGGCCCGCCTCAACTTGAGAGCCGAGAGCGCTGCTCCCGAAAAACCCCATTTGCAACGAACTGAGTGTTAGGCCCATCTCTGTCACCTCCTTGGTCAGTTGCCTTTTTTTTGGGACCCTATTGTTCCCTGTAGAAATGTGTGAACCCCTTCTATCAGGATCCCATTTCTGATGTCTCATTTGCAATTTATCTGCTGCCGGACATGGCTGTGCTCCCCTCATTGCGGGAGGGTCCCTTTGAGCTCGCCGGTCCTGGGCAGACTGGGTGAGTCCTCCTCTCGACTTGAGAGTTAGGT